GTTTCTATGTAACCTGTTGCCTGCTGCTTCAACTCCAAATATCTGGTTTTCCCTGTTCTCTTGCAAATTTGATGTCTTTCTGGTTTACTACTTCCTCAGACTCATATTGGAATAGTAATTAAGGGAATTAATTTAAAAGGCCTTGCACTTTTGGATTATGGATTACTCTTGGAACAAAATGTAAAATAAGATTACAAAAAGGGATAAACCTAAATGTTTACTTGTTGCCATTAGAGCACTGAAAAATCTATTTTCCTCAAAACCAAATGCTGGGACATGATTATATTTAAAGACTAACCGATGGCCTCAGACATTGGATTTGATGGATAATTACAGTAGCTAAATTGCAAAAATCTTTACATAAACAACCTTAAGAATTACCCCTAAAACCATGCCTAGATAAAACGTGCCTGGAATAGATTAGGTGCAATGCATATAAACACATATATACCACCTTCTAGTATAAAAATTTTCAAAAAACATGGAGAATACAATAATTTATAAAGAATTGGTGTTTATGTAAAGAACAAAACAAACTCAGAAAAAAGTGATCAGGGTATTACTTCTCAGGGATAAGGCAACTAATGCCCTAGTATCTCAAAATCCTTTACAAAAGGAGATAGCTTAATAAATTCTAGCTCAGGGATTTTTGTTTGTTTTATGTATGTTACTTTTTTTTCTTCTTTTTCTTTTCATCTGCTTCCATTTTAAGCTTAACTTCTTCAGCTGTAAGGGCTCCCAGTTTCTTACTCTTCGCTTTCTTAACCTTTTCCTTGATGGCTGCCACATCAATTTTAGTTTCAGTAGAAGCTTCCTTAGGTTTCACAACTGGTTTTTCTTTAGGTGGAATAAACGCTTTGTTTCTTTCCTCTTGTCTCCTACTAAGAGCTTCTGCTTGTTTAGCCTTTATTGCTTCCATTTTCTGTCTCCTCTTTTGACTTGCCTTCAGAAAGTATTCACCAGTAGCCAATTCTTTATCAATCTGACTTTCTGGCTGTGGTGGTGGGAATGGTGTATACTCCTTCTTAACAGTTTTCTTCTTTGGTTCCTTGCGTTTATTCACATTTTTGTGCTTGAACTGTGGCAAAAATCTTTCCCAACTCTGTGATCTTAACTCAGAATCTTTCGCCAACTCTCGTTTAATCATTAAGGTTTTAATGTTATAAATTGGATGAATATTCTTCATAGTGTCTAGGACTACTTTTCGAACCTCTTTTAAGCCACTAAAAGGTCCAATGGCTGAAACCGTGTTTCCCTGTACCATAATGTAACAGTTTGTTAAGAGTTCCAATGCCTTCAACGTAGATCCTTTGGGACCAATAAGCCGTTGTCTTCTTTTTACAAATCTTTCTTTATTTCTTACTAAAGAACCTATTTTAATGATGTCACATGCAACATCATCCTGAAGAATTCGTACTGCCTGTTCAAATGAAACACTCCTTGCTAACAGTTTTATTAGGTCTCTGGCCCTAATGATGATATATGGATCAAATGTCTTCTTTGTTGTACAGACAGTCATGCTGCCCTCGATCAGGTCCAGGGTTGCATTAACATGATGTTCACTCAAGGCTTTCTGTACCAATGGCCAGCACTCTTTCAAGTAAGCCTCTCTATATTTTGGAAACAAAGTTGCAAAACTGCTCTCCTCCAAGAGTCCTCTGGGATTGTCCTCTTTGGAAAAAGCTGGCTCCTTCCAACCATCAGGAACAGTGAGGAGTTCTGATTCATCTCAGCTCTCCGGCTTCGGCTTCTGGCTACGAAATTCACTTTTCCTAGACGCTGCAGCTTGTCCGTCCTGCTTGGAGGACGCCATCTTCAAACTGCTCTTTCATTTATTTCTAATCTGTTCTTTATGATTTCTTTCTTTCTGCAAACTTTGGGTTTTTTTTTTTCTTCTCTCTCTAATTGTTTTAGGTGTAAGGTTAGATTATTTATTAGAGATGTTTCTTGTTTCCTGAGGTAGGATTGTATTGCTATAAACTTCCCTCTTAGAACTGCTTTTGCTGCATCCCATAGGTTTTGGGTTGTCGTGTTTTCATTGTCACTTGTTTCTTTTTTGATTTCCTCTTTGATTTCTTCAGTGATCTCTTGGTTATTTAGTAGTGTATTGTTTAGCCTCCATGTGTTTGTATTTTCTACAGATTTTTTCCTAATCTAGTCTCATAGAATTGTGGTGGGAAAGGATACTTGATATGATTTCAATTTTCTTAAATTTACCAAGGCTTGATTTGTGACCCAAGATATGATCTATCCTGTTGAATGTTTCATGAGCGCTTGAGAAGAAAGTGTATTCTGTTGTTTTTGGATGGAATGTCCTATAAATATCAATTAAGTCCATCTTGTTTAATGTATCATTTAAAGCTCGTTTCCTTATTTATTTTCATTTTGGATGATCTGTCCATTGGTGAAAGTGGGGTGTTAAAGTCCCCTACTATGATTGTGTTACTGTCGATTTTCCCTTTTATGGCTGTTAGCATTTGTCATGTAGTGAGGTGCTCCTATGTTGGGAGCATATTTACAATTTTTGTATCTTCTTGGATCGATCCCTTAATCATTATGTAGTGTCCTTCTTTGTCTCTTGTAATAGTCTTTATTTTAAAGTCTTTTTTGTCTGATATGAGAATTGCTACTCCAGCTTTCTTTTGATTTACGTTTGCATGGAATATCTTGTGCCATCCCCTCACTTTCAGTCTTTATGTGTCCCTAGGTCTGAAGTGGGTCTCTTATAGACAGCATATATACAGGTCTTGTTTTTAAGTTAAGTATTTATCTAAGAAACACATTCAGACTGAAGGTACTCTAAAATCAATGCACAGAACGTCATGTAGTGAATAAGCTAGACCAAGCTCTGGGTATGCACATCTCATCTATTATTGGTACAGTTATAAAGGCAATAAGTTTCTTGAAGGTATAAAATCTTTCTTATAAAATTTAACTCTGAAAATAAAGCCAACAGCTAATGCTGATGCTAGGAATTATGGAGTCTAAATAAGAAATGTTTCTTAGCTAGAATATAGAAATTTTGAATTAAAGAGCAGAAGAACAAGCTCATGCATAACTCAGATCAGATAAGAACAGATTCACCACATTTACTTGTAAGAGAAATGAATAGCTGTTTATGAAACTATTTCCATGAGAGCCCCAGCTAGTATTTTTAAAATATACTCTGTAAAGGAAATTATATAAAATAGTGATACTAATAATTTTTTAAATTCTGAGACTATCTTAGATATACATTTGAATACCCAGAATGAATGTCTCAGGTCACATCCTCTCATGAATGTCAAGAAATGCACATATTTTCATGCTCAAAGATGGCTGTTCAAAATACACTCAAGTATCATTGCTCCATCCAGGTTGGAGCCTCAGCAGCTTAAAAAAGTAGTTTTTTCTTTTACCATACATAATTCCATTTCTTGTATAATGAAAACCATAACTCCAACCCAGACAAGTAGTTTTCATTCATTCATTGAACCACACCTACTGAGCCTTCCCTACAGGTCAGACAATGGCAGTAGGTTCCAGAAAGAGCAGACAGGAAAGAACACATGCAGACTGCCACTGATAAAATGAATGTAGATTATGGAGAGTGAGTACACTTATGATTTTCTATTTCTTCTGAATATATTCCTTCTTTAATCAGCTTCAGGTTTTTGGTTCAGTTTATCAAGAAATCATTTTTCTTAACTGTAACAGGATAATATTATCATATGACTAAGTCAGTGTGTTTGACTTCAACCTAGTTTCACTGTCACAATTGATACCTGACTAGACATAGCCACAGGTTATCATCAAGAAAGTGTAAAAGCAGAGCTTCCTGAGAAACATTTTTGGATAGTACCTTAAGATTAAAACATCAGAAGATATACTTTAAGCTGTGGTTAGAGTTGTGACAAATCTAAAACCTATTTCCTCTTCAACATGAACAAACTTAATTCACTAGACCTTACTCTTTATAAACTAAAATTTAATTGTAAACATGATGACAATATATGAATACTTGTCTTCTCTTGATGAAAAGCGATTCTTTCATCTGCCTCTTAATGCACAAAGTCTACCTTTCCTCAATTGCAGTAGTACTGTTCTTTCTTCATGTAGGTGTACAATATCTAGGATGAGGTTAAAATTAAGATTACAAGCAATCTGACATACTACAACAGCCCATGAAGGTAGACTGCTCTCATTCTCCTTATATACTCCCCTTACTCTAGTCCTTCCTCCCCTAATCTTGAGAAAGGGAAGCTCCAGTCCTCACAGAGCAGTGTTGACACAAGTACTTACAACAATGCACTAATGCAGGGAGAACTTCCTACTTCTTAGCACAGCAGAGAAAAAAGTGATCCATTAGAAAAGGAAATTATAACAACTGAAAACAGAAACTTTGGCATCAGAGAGAAGTGGGTTCAAGTCCTAGGTCTAGCACTATAACCTTGGTCAAATTTTTAATCTACTTGAGGTTTAATTTTCTCAACAGTAAGACAACAATAAATACTAACCTTTTTTTTTTTCTATTATGAGTAAAAGAACACTAGATTTGGAGTCATAAGGCATGGGTTCAAGTTCCAGTTACATCCTCTAATAATATAACACCAAGGAAGTAATATAACCTCTGTGAGCCTCAGTTTCTTCATTTATAAAAGATGGACGAAAATATTTGCTTTATACTTCTCATACTTACAAGGAACTAGGAAAGAAAATGGTTTCTATAAAAATCCTTTATAACCTGTAAAGAGTTTTATAAATATAAGACAGTTTTACTGATAAAATAATCTTAGAAAGCAAAATCTGAAGGGACCAAAAAAAAAAAAAAAAAACCTGCAAATAATGGCATGCCCATAAATTTCTAGAGGAATAAAAAAGAATGGGAGTGTTCATTAATTTTCAACCTGTTGGTTACAATTTTCTGCAGTGACCTAAAAACACAGCATTATATCATGACGAAGGTGATAATAACCCTTACAAATAAAGCAAAAAGAAAGCCAGAAGCAACAATTACTTGCCATATATAACTCCTTATTGATGCCAAGATATTTTCCATTTCCACATCCAATATCAGCAACTAATGAACCACTTGGCAAAGCTTTCAAAAACTCCACGATGTGTGGCCAAGGGGTATGTCTCGTGCTGCTAAAGTGTCTAGCAATTTCTTCGTAAACTTGATGGACATATTCTTGCTCCAGTTGTGAGGCTTCTTTATCACTCTCTGGAAATGATGTGGAAGTCTCCTTCATCTGGCTGTCACAGACCAAAGGGTAACCTAATGAATAAAAGAAAGCAATATAAACCATTTACTTATTTGTTTGTTTTTTTAATTTATTTTTTGGCTGCACCACGTGGCATGTGGGAGCTTAGTTCCCTGACCTGGGATTGAACCCACGCCCCCTGCATTGGAAGCACAGAGTCTTAACCACTGGACCACCAGGGAAGTCGCTAAACCATTATTTTTATCCAAATGATTCATAAGGTATGATTGTTTTCTCAAAAGAAAAAGCAAATCAATCCACGTTTGATGACTAGGGTTAAATAGGCTCTGATTTATCAGTTAAAAAAAGTAGTTCTTACCTAGCAAGTCCAATTATGTATGTGAGGGGTCTAATATAAGAAGGGGTAAATCCATTTGAAACAAAATATGACTGTAATTCTGCATGCCTTATAATGCAGATGCCTATTTTATCTTGGGATTAAGGGTCCTCTTATTCAGGAAAGCATCTTGATGGGCCTGGTGTAACCAGAAGAAATTTAGCAATTAACAGGATTTAGGGTTTTTGTCTTGGTAGGAGTTCTGGGGACCCTAGGACTCTCAGAAGAACCAGACCTAGAAACAAAGTGTGATTTGGTAATAATCACAAGATTTAATGAATACTGTTTGAAGCGGTTTACATATATTGTCTCAATCCTCACAGTAACACTATGAATAGGTATTATTACATTCATTTTACAGATGATGAAACTGACTCATGGAATATTAAATAATGATCCCAAAGTGACAAAGATGTTAAGTCATAGAGTCAAGATTTGAACCCAGGCAGTGGAGACTCCAGAATCCACATTCTCAATGACTACACTGTGTTGCCTCCTTCAATAGAATGAGCAAATCCTAAGGAGAACACCAGCAAGTAGAGGAGATGACAGAGGAAATTTAGGATACAATGTCTCAAATTAATTTTGAAGTGTTCCCTGTTCTCTGCAATAACGTCTAATATTCATTTTGAGTCCTTGCCTTTTCTTGGCTATGCTATAATTTCCCTTTGTCTTCAGCCAGTCTGTGGCACACAACATCTTTTTATGGGTAGTATACTAGAGAATAAAGAAAGAAGTAGTGTTCCCAGAGAAACCACAGACAAGACTTAGCAATAATTAGAAAGCATGTGGCAGCAAAGAATTGATGGCTTCAGGAATTTTCCCTAAATATAACTAGAAGATTCCAAACTTTGAATGGGAGTGGAACTATCTAGTCCCTACTAATGTGTAAAGTGAAGGTCTAAACACTTTATGTAGACATTTAAGAAAAGGGTAGCCCCAGAAAGCTTGAGAGCTCTAAAACATACATGTGGAAACAGATGGGTTACATTATGTTGGTTACATCAGAATTACAATTACACTACAATATACATTACAATTATCTTAAGCTGGTCTTGCTAAAAATTTTATTCTCTTGGAAATTATGAACATCTCAGTTATGTAAAAGGAGGATCACTTAAATCCACAAATTTTGACCAAAAGTATCCAAAAGATGGCCTTGAACTTTTAAAAAATCTGTAAACTGAATATATAATCAGAGCTTCTTATAGCAACCCTTAAATTAATGCCCATAACAAAAAAACATTTGCATAAGAAAACTAACTTGTCTCTTCTACTAAATTTCAAGTTCCTTGAGAACAAGAGCCATGCTTTATTTTTCTATACCTTGTAAAGCTACTGGCAGTGTTAGATGTTCATCAAATACTAAATAAATATTTTTTAATTGATAAAAAAATTTTGTTTTTAAGTCCTCAGTGACATTTTTAGCAAAAGAAACAAAAACCTGTTAAAACCTATTTTAAGCTTCACTAACATGAAGTTATCAAATATGAAGAGTCCAAGTGTCCTAACAAAATAATATCTTATACATATAATAAAGATTTTTAATTTAAAATGTTTTTAAGATGACTAAATCCAAAAGCTCCTGCTAAGATACCACCTATAACTGAAACCACCAGGATGTAAAAAGCTCATAACATCACTGTTATTGTAAAATATTATTTATAAAACACAAGGGGTTTTTATTTGAGTCCAAGAAATACAGGTCATGATGCACTTATACAGACAATTCAGAACAGCATCCTTGACAAGTTTTTGAGCACTCCTTTCCAAACTGACTAAAACAAACACTGTTTATCCCCCTAAAGTTATCCACTTCCTATAGAACAGTTTGTCATTTCCAACTTCCCTGTTAAGTTAATGAGAAGTAATTGAGAAATGTGACAAGCTGTTTCCAAAAAAACTTATTCTTGTACAAGTGATATTTTATTTATTTATTTTTTTCCCCACCGTGCAGTGATCTTTTTTTTTTTTTTTTTTTTTGCGGTACGCAGGCCTCTCACTGTTGTGGCCTCTCCTGTTGTGGAACACAGGCTCTGGATGTGCAGGCTCAGTGGCCATGGCTCACGGGCCCAGCTGCTCCGCAGCATGTGGGATCTTCCCGGACTGGGGCACGAACCCATGCCCCCTGCATTGGCAGGCAGACTCTCAACCACTGCGCCACCAGGGAAGCCCCTACAAGTGATATTTTAATGCCCCCAAACTGTAGTATTCTTAACCATGATTATAATAAATAAAATATTCATTTAGAATCCAACTATGCTCAAGCACTATGTTTGAGGAAAATAAAGATGAGTAAGATGCAGTCCCTGCCCTCAAGGACTATAAACCTAACCACGGGGGTGGTTAAGAAAAGTATATGTCAGTACAATACAAGGCAGAACACAGGAAATGCCATTAGAGGAGTTAAGACAAAGCTCTTCTCAGTTCTTATGGGACTTTAAAAGATTTTCATAGTAGATTTACTCCATTTTACAGGAGAACCAAAATTATATACTTACTACAATTACAAGGTGTTTGCCTCACTTTCCTAAAGGTAAATGATGTCCGTATTCCCCTCTTGCTTAAAGTTAAGTCTTCAACATCTCCAGTGATAATTCCACTTTTGTGACCCCTGGACGCTTGAACAGTATCAAATTTTCTGGGTGTGATGCTAAAAACAACAGTCAAATTAGTTTATTTAACACTGTATTCAGAAAAATATTTCATGTCCTTTAAAAATATTAAGCGAATAGAGTAAATCTAGAAGAATTTATTGCAAATATCTATTGGATTCCCTGAATTGCTAAGCATTGTGGAAAAAAATCAAAGAAATAGAAGTCTTTGTCTCTTAGGAAATTAGCTCCAGGGTAATCATTTACAGCTAACAAACTATGCAAGGGGGAAAAGTAGAAAAATAACAAATGCTTAATTAATACCAATGCCAAGGAAGAAAAAACACGAAACAGATGGAACAAAGAGGAAACAGATAGTAAAGTTAAATCCAATTATCAGTAATGTTAAATGTAAAAGGACTTTAAATCCAATTAAAGAACAAAGAATTTCAGATTGGATGTTTCTAAAAATCCAACTATGTGCTGATTACAAGAGACACACCTTATAAATAAGGACAGAGAATGGTTGAAAATGATAGAAAAAAAAGATACAACATACAAAAAACAAATATTTTGCATATACCTAGCAAAACCAAAAGAAATGTGGTATAGCTATACTAATCAGACAAAGTAGACTTTAAGGCAATAAGTGTTAATAGAGATAAAAAGGAACATTTCATAATGATAACAGGGTCAATCCAACAGAAAAATATTATGTAAAAACCCTATATATTTGTATGCATCTAACTAATAGCACAGCCTCAAAATATATAAAGCAAAAAGTGAAAACAAAATCTAAAAGGAGAAACAGACAAATACATAATTATCACTGGAATTTCTAATATATCTTTCTTAGTAAGTGAAATCTAGCTGCAAGTCAAGGACATCATCAGAAAACAACAGATAATGGAACAAAAAAGTATATGATTAACAGATAAAATAAGTAAAACAAAGATTGAAAACTAAAGAGAGAAAAGTACAAGCCATTGTAGATTATAAGAAAGTTTAAAGGGAATCTTGGAAATAAGATCAAATTTTTGAACGGGAAAAAGGAATCATTTAGTAAGAAAATATGACCTTTTCAAAGTTAAATTTATAGGGTGAAATGCACATATCTTAAGTGTACAGTTCAATGAATTTTGACAAATGCACACAACCATGTATCCACCATCCCAATCAAGACAATTACCCAAGGAAATTCCCTCGTGCCCTTTTCCAGTCAGTCTTCCCCGCCCCCCTCAAAGCAACCACTATTCTGATTTCTATCCGTATAATTTTGCCTGTTCTTGAATTTCATATATAGTTGGCACTATTTTGTATCTGGCTTTGTCCATTGAACATAATTTTGAGATCTAGCCATGTAGCTGTGTGTTTCAGCAGTTCACTGTTTTTCTTTAATCACTGAGTAAAATTTCATTATATGAACATGCCATAATTTATCCTAAATCTCCTGTTTATTGATATTTGGCATTCTTAGTTTGGGACTATTACAAATAAAGCTTATACACATCTTTTTCAGATATATACTTTTATTACTCTTGGGAAAATACCTAAGATTGAAATTGGTGGGTCATAGTGTAAGAAACTACCAGTTTTCTAAGATGGTTGCACATAATTTTACACTCCCACCAGCAACATATGAGAGTTTCAGGCTGCTTGACATTCTCACCAACACTTGGTATTGTCTAAGTTTTAAATATTAGCCATTTTAGCAAGTAGCAAGTGATATGAAATTTCAGTTATAATTTGTATTTCTCTGATGACTAATGATATTGTTTCTTTTCATGTGCTTTTTAGCCATTCATAGATCCTTCTGGTAAAGGATCTGTTCAAATCTTATACCCAGTCTTTTATTAGATATATGTATTGTGGATACTTTTTCGCCCATGTATAGCCTGGCTTTTCATTTTCTTAATGCTGTCTTCTGATAAGCAGAAGTTTTAAATTTTGATGCAGTTATTTTGTCTTCTTTTTCTTTTACAGTGTTCTGAAACAGTTCTAAAAAAAAACTTTGCCTACCCCAGAGCTGCAAAAGTATCCTCTTGTATTTTCTTCTAGACATCTCCTAGTTTTTGTTTTTACATTTAAATTTATGATCTACCCCATATTAATTTTTGTGAATGGTGTGAGGTATATCAAGGCTCATTTTATTTCCACATAGAGCTCTGATTGTCCCAGCACCATCTGTTGAAAATTTTCCTTTCCACAATGAACTGTGTTGCCATCTTTGTCAAAAATCAACTGACACCATATCTATGAATATATTCTGTCCCACTGGTCTATTTGTCTATCTGTACAACAATACTACACTCTTTTGATTAGGTAGCTTTATATACAGTAAATCTTAAACGTAAGGTAGAATAAATCCTGCAACATTGTTCTTATGTTCAAGATTGTTTAGATTATTCTTTTTTTTTTGCAGTACGTGGGTCTCTCACTATTGTGGCCTCTCCCGTTGCGGAGCACAGGCTCCGGACGCGCAGGCTCAGAGGCCATGGCTCATGGGCCTAGCTGCTCCGCGGCATGTCGGATCTTCCTGGACCGGGGCACGAACCCCTGTCCCCTGCATCGGCAGGCGGACTCTCAACCACTGCGCCACCAGGGAAGCCCTGGATTATTCTTGATCACTCACGTTTCCTGGTAAATTTTAGAATCTGCTTATCAATTTCTACAAAAAAAGTCTTTTAAGATTCTGATTGGAATTACACTAAATCATTAGATCAATTTGGGAATAACTGATAACAATATTAAGTTCCCTACCCATGATTATGTCATCTCTATTTCTTCATTTATTTTGCTCTGTAATTTCTCTTACCAATGTTTCATGATTTTTAGAGTATACGTGTTGTATATCTTTTGTTAAATTTATTTCTGAGACTTAAATCTTCTAAAGCCAAGTTGTCTGCTTGACCCACTCTACCAAGGTTATCTGCCTATAGAAGTGGGTTTCATACTCACAGGGAATGTGCCAGGCCTGAAAGATCTCAGCAAACTTTTAAAAAGCATAATTTTATACTAAAGTTGTTGATACTGCTTTATCAAGAATCAGATATGTTGACTACACATCTAGAAAAGTATCAACCATATAATTAAAGTACAAACCATGTCTACCAGACAGCCCACAGTAGTCTGCCCGCCACAACTTAAGGAACCATGCAGTCCACATAGAGGGCACCCCTAGAGCATATAGATCTGGTGTCCAAAGGGCAGTGTGCTGCTGGGCCCCATAGGACACTTCCTAGGTAAGATCACTTCTCTGAGATTGAGAAATATAACCCAACAAATACATAGAAATAAAAACAGCAAATTAGGCAAAATGAGGTGACAGAGGAATATGTTCCAAATGAAAGAACAAGATAAAAACCCCAGAAGAAGAACTAAGTAAAGTGGAGATAAGCAATCTGCCCAACAGAGAGTTCAAGGTAGTGATTGTAAAGTTCATCAAAGAACTCAGGAGAAGATTGGGTGAACAGAGTGAGAAGTTAGAAATTTTTAACAAAGAGTTAGAAAATATAAAGAAGAAACAAACAGAGCTGAAAAATACGACCACTGAAATAAAAAATACAGTAGACGGAATCAGTAGATTAGATGATATATAGAGAAATGGATTATCGAGCTGGAGACAGAGTAGTGGAAATCACTCAAGCTGAACAGAAAAAAGAAAAAAGAATAAAAAGAAATGAGGACAGGAGACGAGGGGAAGATGGAGGAAGAGTAAGACGTGGAGATCACCTTCCACCCCACAGATACACCAGAAATACATCTACACGTGGAACAGCTCCTACAGAACACCTACTGAATGCTGGCAGAAGACCTCAGACCTCTCAAAAGGCAAGAAACTCCTCACGTACCTCGGTAGGGCAAAAGAAAAAACAGAGACAAAAGAATAGGGACGGGACCTGCACCAGTGGGAGGGAGCTGTGAAGGAGGAAAGGATTCCACACACTAGGAAGCCCCTTCACGGGCGGAGACTGCGGGTGGCGGAGGGGGGAAGCTTCGGAGCCGCGGAGGAGACCGCAGCAACAGGGGTGCGGAGGGCAAAGCAGGGAGATTCTCACACAGAGGATCGGTGCCGACCAGCACTCACCAGCCCGAGAGGCTTGTCTGCTCACCCGCCAGGACGGGCGGGGCTGCGAGCTGAGGCTCGGGCTTTGGTCAGAGCGCAGGGAGAGGACTGAGGTTGGCAGCGTGAACACAGCCTGAAGGGGTTAGTGCACCACGGCTAGCCGGGAGGGAGTCCGGGAAAAGGTCTGGAGCTGCCGAAGAGGCAAGAGACTTTTTCTTCCCTCTTTGTTTCCTGGTGCAAGAGGAGAGGGGATTAAGAGCGCTGCTTAAAGGAGCTCCAGAGAGCGGCGTGAGCCGTGGCTAAAAGCGCGGACCCCAGAGATGGGCATAAGAAGCTAAGGCTGCTGCTGCCGCCATCAAGAAGCCTGTGTGCGAGCACAGGTCACCATCCACACCTCCCTTCCGGGGAGCCTGTGCAGCCCGCCACTGCCAGGGTCCCGGGATCCAGGGACAACTTCCCTGGGAGAACGAACAGCGAGCCTCAGGCTGGTGCAATGGCACGCTGGCCTCTGCCGCCGCAGGCTCGCCCCGCTCTCCATGCCCCTCCCTCCCTGCGGCCTGAGTGAGCCAGAGCCCCCGAATCAGAGGCTCCTTTAACCCGTCCTGTCTGAGCGAAAAACAGACGCCCTCCAGCGACCTATACGCAGAGGCGGGGCCAAATCCAAAGCTGAGCCCCTGGGAGCTGTGAGAACAAAGAAGAGAAAGTGAAATCTCTCCCAGCAGCCTCAGAAGCAGCGGATTAAAGCTCCACAATCAACTTGATGTACCCTGCATCTGTGGAATATATGAGTAGACAACGAATCATCCCAAATTGAGAAGGTGAACTTTGAGAGCAAGATTTAGGAATTTTTCCCCTTTTACTCTTTTTGTGCGTGTGTACGTGTACACTTCTGTGTGAGATTGTGTCTGTATAGCTTTGCTTCCACCATTTGTCCTAGGGTTCTATCCGTTCGTTTTTTTTCTTAATAATTATTATTGATTGTAATAACTTTAT